TGAACAAAAATAAATAAATAATAATTTTAAAATTTTCTAGCAACTTATATTCTAATAATAGCTTATCAATAATTTTAAAATTGTCTAGCAACTTATATTTAATAATATTTATATGCTAAAATATACATACAAAATATAAATAATTAAAATTAAAAATTAAACAATAAAACCCGGGCGTAGCCCGGGCCAACCCCTAGTTAATAATATTATAAAATGATTGAATAATAGTGGAGATAATGTTTACCCTAACATCAATCCAAGTCTTCCATAAACTAAATCCAAAATATTAATCACTAAACCTTAAAAAGAAATATAAATCCTAACCCAAATATCAAATCTGCACATAGTGCATAATATAAAGCGATATCAAAATAAAATAGTAATAAACGAAATAACATAGTACATATTAATGTTCAAATTTTGAAACGTATATAATGGCAAGGAAGAGGCAATGCTTACCCCAAAGTCAATCCAAACCTTCCATAAAACACCTCTGTTCGAAAACACGGGCTAGGCGGCCGGCTAGTCGCCGGAAAGGCGTGGAACGGGCTACCACCGAGGCGATTTGGAGTTATTCGGCCAACAAATCGGGGAATCAATAAAACTCACTGTTTCTATAGATCTTAAGTTTCAAATCACATATTCGTCTTGGATTTGATATATTTTGATTGAATCTTAGAAGAAAAGCAAGAAAAACCATTCAAATCGAAAGAATAAAAAAAAAAACAAAGCGGCTGGAAGTTGCAGACCATCGCAGATAAATGTTGAAGAAGACAGGGATACTTTGGTCATTTTGGAGCTCATTTAACCTAAAGATTAAAATAAATAAAAAAGCAACCCTTACGCTTTTCGAACTCGGGTCCAGTGGGAATAAATACACTCAGCTGACCACTAGACTGTACAACAACAACGTTATACCTGTGTATTAATAATATATAACCCAAAAACGATATAAAATGTCTAAAATTCCTCCCCGAGTAATTCCCGATTAATCTCCGATTAATTCATTAGGCGCTAGGCCCTGTTCAACCGCACGTGTAACGCCTAGCGCGTTCTTGAACCTTGTAAAACACTAGTCACTAAACCCTAAAAATAAATATAAACTCAACACATTAATCACTAACCCTACAAAGAATTATAAACCCAAAACACTAAGCACTAAACCTTAAAAAGAAATATAAACCCAAAACACTAATTACTAACCTTAAAAAGAAATATAAACCTAAAACACTGATCACTAAACCCAAAAAGAAAATATAAACTCTAACCCAAATATCAAATCTGCACATAGTACATAATGTAAAGCCTTATAAAAATAGAATAATAATAATAAACGAAATATCATAATACATATTAATATTCAAATTTTGAAATGTGTATGATTGCAAAGAAGGAGGAAATATTTACCCCAAATTTAATCTAAATCTTTCATAAACTAAATCCCAAACACTAATTACAAACACTAAAAAGAAATATAAACCATAACCCAAATATCAAAATATGCACACAATACATAATATGAAGCATTATTACAATAGAATAGTAATAAACGAAATAGTATAGTATACAATATTCAAATAACATAGTATAACTGGGAACTTACATGACAAACATGGACATCTCAACCATAATGTCATCGTGGTCTGTAAATCTCAGAAGCGGATACGACATATGTAACAAAGATTATAGATATGGAGGTGGTTGTGATGGCTATGAAATGGGTGATGAACGTATTGTAAGGGTGGTGGAAGCAAAGTGGTGGAGACCAGAGGAAAAATGGTAGTAGTTGATAATGGAAAAAGAAGAAGATAATTTCTCTTTCATTAACCGAAGAGTAGGAGTAATATAATATATATTACAAAAATAATGGAGGTACTTTTTGTTTGGTTAGATACTTAATTATTGTTAGTTTTCTATCTATACAGTTCAATTTCCCAGTTATTAATGAACTATTTGATCTAACCACTAGTTAGTCTACGGAGCTATTCTTATAATATGATGTTATGTCGATAAATTTCCCAGTTTATAACATATCAATATTTAATTAATGGTAGTAAGATAATATGGGAAATAATATCTTTGAATCATACCCCATGAAAAGTACCATAACTTTAATTGTTACTAGATCTTGATCCGTGGACCTGCGCGAATTTTGCTTAATTTGTAAAAGTATTATAAACTCATAAACCATCCGTTATTATCTTGTTTTAGAAATTATGGTAAACATTGTATGGTAATTATCGTATTGAATGTAATAGTCATGGGGTTTGTTTTTTAGTTCAGCTCTTGTTTGGTTCTTTATGTTTTTAGTTTTTTGGTTCTAAAGATATAGGAACCATTCGGCTATCTATGAAAGTTGGTTCGTGTCCGGTTAGATTCTTTTGGTTTGATCTGAGTTTGGTAACACTTATAAGAACCGATTAATATCAGATAAATTTTTGGTTCCAATTGGATGACATTTTTTCCGGATGATTTGGATAATTCGTGGTAAAAACTGATTTTGAGAGATTTTTCTGATATAATCCAGATATTGAGATAATTTTAATATTTTGGTTAAAAACTATTCCAGTACTTCGTTTCTTTATGATAATTGTAAAATACTTTAGATCAAAGATATTCGAGTATTAAATTATTTGAAATGTAAATTGTTTTTTATATGAAATTTATGTAATTAAACATTTTTGTATTTAGTTATTGAAGATAATATAAATGGACCATTTATTTTGTAAAAACAACATTGCAATTGTTTTAGTTAGAAATAGTAAATGTTAAAAACTGATTTTATATATTTAATTTAGTCAACAACAATAAAATTGGATATAGGTTTAAAAACATTATCTTCTCACTTATTTGGCCCTCAATATTGTTAATATTGATTTACATAAGTATACAAATGATATATAGTAAATAATCATATTGGTAAATATAATGCTGCAAAATGTGACAATTATAAGAAACTGAAACAACACTATATCAATACTAAGAGAAATATATTTGATAGTAAGAGTACTCACTTTATGCCCAATTACCTTGTCATGTGTTTGGTATTCAATGTAGTTAACATTCTTCTGCATTAGATAGCAAATACATTTGTATACGAATAATATAATAACGACCATTAAAATAACAGTATTGGTAAACAGTAATGATGAAAAATAAGAAAATGATACAAAAATGGACATATAAATTTTGAAAAAATGATAGCAATATTGAGTCATCAAGATAGTGAAATTGCTTTCTCATTTGTTTGTCCTTCAATGCTATTAACATTTTATCTACATGAGAAAGAAGATAATGAAAACAATAATTTAAGAATGAAAAGCCAAAAAATATACAGCCAAATATTTAGAAGTTTAAGTCTGAGTACTTAGAAAGGGATCTCGATTCATTACATATAAAACATTTAGTAGGTGAAACATCCATGAGAATATACAAATAAATTTAAATAGAATATTAAAGTAAAATATATTAAAGTAATATTCGTGTATATAAATAGTTAATTATAGTTATATTTTTGCCATATTCTCTTTAGAAAAATATTTGCTCGTAGAGCTGAGAGAATTTCTATGATAAAAATATCGGAATTTGATACTTATAAAATATATCATATATCATAATATATGTTGTCTATATGTTAATTTGGTCTTGAAATATATACCTTAGACCGTTATACTAAACTCTACATGTCTGTAAACATAAATCCTAAACCATAAGTTATAATACATGACACCTTTCGTATGGAAGCATAAATTAATGGCATCAATCCAATTTTGTATATCCAACCACATATGCAACTTAAGCCATACCATATGGTTTTGTATAAACAATCAACTTTACAATAATATGATTCAAAATCATAGCGTATGATTTGAAATAAAAGTTGGCAACCAAACTGATAATATAGCATAACAATCTAGCAAGTTTTTATTAGGATAACAAAACAATAGATTAACATGAATCAGGATTGGTAATGTGGTAGTTAATAATGGTTTAGGCATGGTAATCTCGTTTTAGTCATGTCAGCATGCTTAGAAAATTTATCCATCATATTTATTTATTTATTTCAATATTTTTTTAGTTTCTAAGTTATCAATCTACATCCTCTTTATCATGTTATATTTTAGAAACAATCAAATTATAACGTTTTCACATAAATATGTTCTCAATTAATAATATGATATTAAGATATGTTGATCACATAAACAAAAAAAATTGGAGTATCTACTATAATTAAAAGGGCTAAATAAAGCCTTCTGGACTATGCCACGTATGCAAAAATATTTAGCCAATCAAATTATTTCATTCTTCCACGTCACTCAGCCCATTCCCAGCCGCAAGACGTATTTCGTGTCAAGTTTTGGGGATCTCTCCCCTTCACTTCGTCTTCTTTGACCTATGGTTTATTGCGTTATCTGAAATCACTCCTGATCGTTATCATCATCAATGATAATCTTTAAACTCTTCTTCAATACTCTATCTCTTTCACCTTCCCTTGATCCTCCTCCCATATAAAGGCTATGTCTAAACCTAAATCTTCCCAAAATCAAAACCCACTCTGAAAAAGCTACAAACATGGTCATGAAATCCACCGGAAAATATAAGTCTCCACCGGCAAGTCTCAAGTGGCTGTTTTTTTCACTGATGTCTCACCAGTACCAACTCAGTCAGATTGATCATGTGAGTTTGATCTTATCCAGTCTTAATTTGTTTTTTGTTCTTCAGGGAACTGATGTATTTTATTTTCAGTTAATTTTCTAAGTTATACTGATATGGTTTTAATTGGTTTTAAGCTCTGTTCCATGTTGTAGTTTTCTGTATTCTCAAAAACAATGAAAAAGAAAAAGCGTTGCTTTTTAGCTGCTAGAGCTTCAAGAACAGAGAATGAAGATGCTATTGATGCTTCTGTGGTTGGAATACTTGCCGACTCCAGAGAGGCAAGAGCTGGTATTAGAGAGATTCACTTCTTCCGGTTCAGTCCCATCGACATATATCGTTGGTAATGGAGTCTCGCACCGAGTAAGCAAAGGGAGGCGCCAGAGCAGGTACCTCAGATTTAGAGTTGTTTCTTCTCTTCAATGATTAACCTTTAAAACCCTTTTCGACCCAAGAAAGTATTACTTGGGTTAGCCCCTCCTAGCTGATGATGTTCTTCCATACCCTCATTTCATATTTCTTGGCGTCTCATGACTCAAAACGAATTTGGGAATCTTATCACGATAGACATTTATAAAGAAATTTCAAAGAGCATGATTACAATTCCTTAACCCTGTAAAAATTGCTAACATTTTGTCTAAAAAAAGCCTTTCTTGATTAGTCAGTAAACCTTGCCCATAGCTATCTTAGGTTCCTAGATTGCTGAAATTTTTCCACTAGGGTTTTAAAGTTTTTATCTTTCCTTGCTTTTATTTCTTGAACCCAGTGTTTGTTAAGCCATAGGAGGACCTAAATTGTTAGATTTTCTAGCACACATGTATCGTGAGTCGGACATATATCGACTGAATGGTGAAGAAGTTTCTATTAATAAATACGGAATTTCTGTTTTCAGTAATATGTTCGTTTTTTTTTGCATTTATTGTTGGTTCATGTATGATGAAAAGTATGAAGTGAGACAGTAAAATTGTTGGTGTTTTTAGTTTTTACCTATGACCGCCACAAATTGTAGCTTCTTCGATCTATACTGTATCATCGACTCTGCATTAATTCACATATGAGCCTGAAATGTTGTTTTGCCATGTCTCTGAGTATGACACATGCCCTTGATAGTGCAGCAGGACAAGATTGAAATCTAATAAAGTTTCTGTTCACCAGAGTTTGGTGAAGGACATGCAGTTGCTATCCCGAGGACGTGGAAGACATGGCAGAAGGCGATGTTTCATCCAGGTTCTGATTATTCTTATATTGCATTTTAGTTGTGACTGCATTTTGCGCATTAAAGTTTCTCTTGACGGGGTCGACAAATAGTGCTATCAAAAGCTATCTTCTTCTCTCTGATGATGATATAAAGAATGGATCGATAGTTATTTTTATTATGTTTTAGAAGGATATACTGTATTTGGTGTTGTAAGAATGCTATTATTTTGCTGCAAACGGTATTAACTTATTTATCCTTATAGAGCTGGAAACTTTGTTCTACCAAATGTGTCTAGAGAGGTGAGTGACGTGTCATCTTCATCTGGACCAGTTAAACTGGCAGACCTGCAAAGGATTATGAACAACCTCTCTTCTGGTCCTGTAGGTAAAATTCTCAATCTCTTGGTGCTCCCTTCAATAAGCTTTTCTGGTTCCCTCTTACATACTCATTCAGGTATGTTGATATTATTTTAGGTATGGAGATGAAAACGAAGGTGAATATTTTCAATTTTAGGTTTTCTGTTTATTCATTACATACCACATCGTCCTCATGTTTTATCTTCCGAAGGCCTAGCTATAAGGGGATATCCTGAAGCAAAAGTTGATCATGCCATTGCTGGAGATGTAACCTGTCATGAACGATTGTCTTCGCATTTACCTGAGGTATGTGCTGGGCATCAGTATTTTCTATATTCAATGAAGATGAGTTTTTATATTCAATTGTAAGTTCTTTATTTTAAATTTTTGATCAAAGAAACCGAGTCGAGTTGTGAATTTAGGGGAAGTAAGAGGCACAAAGGGTCACTAGATTATAAAATAATTAAGGGATGGGATTAAGAAGTGGTATGAGGTGAAAGGAGAATGTTATTTCTGTTGATGTTGTTTGAGAGTGGAGTATCTTTGTTTGGATACATATGAGTAATAGAATTCACAACAATTAGTTTCGTTTATATTCGATAACATAGAGGAATTCAGAATGGCCCCAACTCCCTTTAAATTGTTAGCTCACTGAGGTCAACTATTGTTGCCTAGGTAAAAAAAATGTTCATGCACTGGACTAATCAGATGACTTTGACAGGGTCACTGTACGGCAGAAGATATACTGGAGTTGTTACAGAGCCCTCCTATGTAAGCCCCTCTGTGATAATGTTGTTTGCGTTCTTTGCTTGATATTCTGAACATCATCAGTTAGGAGGGGCTAACCCCAAATATTTTATGTTCTTTGCTTGATATGTCAGTTAGCACCAACATCAGATTTTTCCTATTTGATGCTTTTTACCGATTGGAGTTTTTGGTTTTAAGATACATAAAAAAAACCTGTTATTTTTTTGTTGTTCCCTTCTCTCTATCTTTTCGTTGATGAGAATTCATATTGCAGATTTATATTTCTTATGATAGATAACACAATAGACCAGTTTCGTTTGTTTTTTTTTCAGCCAGCTCTAGAGCAAGGTTTACTATCTGGGCGTTTTGCATGTTCAAGTATAAGTTTGCGTAAACAAAGTTGTAAATCTCTTTCCAGCTGAATTGTTGCATAGATAATGGTATACTGTCCTAAGTAAGTTAGTGTATTGATTTCATGCGGGGACGATGAGCTTGGCTTAATGTTGATCCCTCTTTGCTCCACGCTACAACTACTTTACCAATATTCGATGGTTTTCACAAGCAAAAAAATGTTTAGACTTATACACATGTTATCGATATTGTAGTCTAATGGCAAAGTTACACATTTATATCATTATGATTACGAGAGGAGGATTGCTATTCACTTTCACTAATGTGAGAAAGCAAAGGATTGATTGTTGATTTGGTGAACCCAAAAGGTTTATTGTACCCTTTAAAAAAATAGATATGTAGACTAATCTTTGGAAACTGAATACAAAAATTTATCTAACAGCAAAAAACTTTTGAAAATATTAAACATTCGATTTTTTTTTGACAATGTAATGTTAAAACAGTATAAATAACTAACTTTGAAAATATTAAACATGCGATATTTTTTGTTAATGTAATGTTAAGACAACATAAAACCACTTGGAAAACAAGAAAAAGCAACGTAATATCAATGTTAATTCTTTAAAATTAACTCACAAAATATTAATTAATTTATTAAAAATGGAAATTCCAGGAAATAATTGAAAGCCTATTTTTGGATATTATCTAAATATTTCAGCCAAAAGAACAAGATGATGTCCTAACAATAAAATCATTATTAATATGAATATAATACGCACTAAAATCAATATTAGAAGTACCTAGAAGGAGATGAACATTTTTTTTTAGAAAACTATCACATAATTTTAGAAACAACAGTCATAGAACTAAAGTGAAAACAACAATAACTAAACACTGAGTATCTAACTGAGAAAAATAAACTGAACATAACAATAACTTACAAACTTAATATAATTAAACTTATATGAGAAATGACTGAGAATATATAAATGGAGAATACATTTCATACAAGGAACAAAACAAAAAAATGAAGGAAACTTCTTTTGTTTAATCATAGGTCTACATTTGGACAACTAACTATATATAAGATAAAAAAATTATACTTTCACGAATTATTGCACATCAAAAAGAAAAATTATATTGGTACAAAACATTAATCTTAAAATATATACAGATTAAAAACCACATTAACTAACTATATATAATATATTATAACTTAATCAAAACAATGCAAATCAATATTCACCATAATTTTATTAATAAGATTTTACTTAACAATTTTATAGTAATTATTTGAAGCTCCAAATGATAATTAACAAAACAAATACTAATATCTCATACCACATATAAAGTCAACAAAATTAACGACTGAGAACAAAAAAGAACATCATACTACTTTATTCTACTCATTTATAAGTTAAATGTATACTAAATATATTATATAATATCATAACTGGTGCTAAAAATAATTATTTTAACAAGTCATACTCCAAATTTATTATAAGAATAATAAAATTCTGTAACAATTTTTTTATAAGAATACAAACTTATACAAAATAGTTAAAACAATGGTCCGCAAAACAGACTGGGATACTAAGCTCATTTTTCCCAAACCTCATATATCAATTCTTGATGTTTTAACACGAGGTTCCTTTCTTAACAGGAGATAAGGAACTTATTGGAAAATGTGTCTCTGTTTATGGATTTAGAGATGACATAACTGGACCAAAGGGGCGTAGGAGGCTAGAAAAGAAATGGTACCTTCACACTTTAAGATATTCAATAGATCATACAGTGAAACCTCTATAAATTAATAATGTTGGGACTATACCAAAATTTTATTTTTTATTAATTTAGAGAGATATTAATTTATCGATATACTAATCGAACCAAAAACTCAATTTGGAAATATAAAATTATACTATTTTATAGAAATATTTAGTGTATATTAATTTATTGAATATTAATTTATTGAGGTTCTACTGTATAATTATCAACACATCACAGAAACGTTCAATCAGATAAATTGCATACAAATTGTATAAGTATCGGCTTAACTTTGAGTCAAATAACTTAGTCTTTACCAATTTATGGAAATCTCTTCATACGATCTATTTCCCAACTATCCATCTCCTATTATTCGAAAAAAATAATCTACTTTTACATTATTTATAATCATTTTAGCTACTCTTTCAAAATTTTAAAAATAGTAAACACTTAAAAATCACTAAGTCTCTCACAATTCTAAAAAAATGATGTGATCTCAATTCATAAATGTTATCAGAAAATATAATCTATACCGAAACTACTAATTCACTTATCCGCGCGTAGCGCGGAAAAAGACACTAGTATTATTAAAGAGAGGAAGAGTACTCTTGTAAACTATAAGAGAGTTTTGCAAAAACAAACAAACAAAAAAAAACTAAAAGAGAGAGAAAGCGAAAAGATTACCCCGCGGAAACCCCACGTGTTATTAATCGATGGTGTCCGTAAGGACCGTAATTGAATAAAAACACGTGCTTATAATTCACCCAATATATCCCACTAAAAACATATTGACAATAAATGTATAACACACCTATCAGTTTCGTCTCGTGAGGGAAAAAATAAATTAGTAATAGCATATTGACCACATTGCAACTTTTACTGTATTGTTTGATATTGGCTGGTGATTGATTTAAAAAGAAAAAACATAATAGATATCTATACTTGTTGATGAAAAAAAAGAGAAAAAAATATGATATCTTCTCTATATTTAAATTAATGTCTAACCATCTTAAATTGTGTAGTATTTTTAAATAAGAAAAATTAGCTAAAGCTATATGTTAATAATTACTAATATATATATTTGGGTTTTTGTTTTTGAAAAAAATATATATTTGGGTTTTAGTCATAAGGAATGTGGAGTATTCATGTAAAAAGATATCAAGAAATTAAAAAAGTATATTTTCACATCTTCAGTTTCACCTGATCAAAAAATAAAGATGTTACAACATTGGCATTACCTTATAATCAATTTTATAGAATTATACATAACAATTTAACCTTTTTCATGGATAAAATCCTTTTAAATAGAATAATGTAATATAAATATAAACAGTTGTAAGCATTAACAACTAATAGAGTTTTTCTCCACAGAAAATTCAAATTTTCAGATATATTGAGATATACCTTACGGTTTTCACAATTTCATATATATATTTCACCTTATAAAAATCTAAAAGTATGAAGAACACTAGAAGAACATTGTAAACTTTGAAGGATTAGATAAAAAAAAAAGATAAATTCTCTAGAATATACTCAAAATTTTTTTTATCACAAATATAAACCTTAAAAATAAAAACGACCAAAGTAGACTTAAATAGTTTATTAAAAGAAGTAAATATACACTAATAATCATAGGGTTGATTAGTCTAGACATTAGAGTTTAGAGTTAAGAGGTGAGATTTATGGTTTAGAGTTGAAAAGTGGGGTTTTGGGGATAAGATTTCAAAAAAATTTTAGAAATTAAAATTGTAAAAATAAAAATATATTATTTTGGTCATTTTAGTTTTTGAATTTTATTTTTGTGACAAAAACTTAACAAATTTATATGAGAGAATTGCTTGAAAAAAATTTGAAGGATTATAATAAGGGCTTATTTGCAATATAACCAAAAAATAAAGGTAATTAGATTTTTAGTAAAAAGTTAAAGAGAGATAGAGGCTTTGAATGTTAAAAGCAGATCAAACAGTTCATGCAGATCAAGCGGATTATGCAGGAGAGATGTAGATCAAACAATTTATTATAAATTATGAATGATATAATCAGTTCAAAACTATAGATCATATATTAAAACAATAAAAGATTATACCAAAATATCAAAATAAATATCTTAGATGTTGTAGGATCAGCAAAAATGTTTATTGAATTTTTCATAAGATGCTTGTAATTCTTATATTTTCATTTTAGTTGATCAAAAGTATCTTTGAAGAACTGGAGTTACTAATATTAAACTATTTGTTGATATCTATATAGAAAGATTTATATGTTTTTGTTGAAAAAATATTGTGTTTTATCTGTCACTGGATGTTATACTTATAATTTTAAAAATAATATATTTATAATTTTAAAATTGACACAAAGAGTATTTAGTGTGAACTATATTGTTTGAGTTAATCATTATATATTATTTATAAAATCAAATAAATATATTTAAAGTTAGTGTATGTAGTAAAATAGTTTATTAGTGAAAAACAGATAAACATCTTCAAATGTTAGCAGGTGAAATCTGCATATAAATTTTCTATTTTCTTTTCACAAAAAAATATAGAAAATATTAAATTGTATGCAGATCTTCTGCTTAAACTGCTTTTATAAACAAGAAAAAGTGAATAGTAAAACAATACCGGGAGAATTGCAAATGCTAGAGAATTGCATTTATCCTACTCCTTTATTCGAACACAAAAAGAGAAATAAAGAGAGAGAGTATGTTTTTGGTTAGTAGATAATAAATTTTGGGTCTTTGTATGTGTATTGAAACAAATTACCCTTAGGACGATTTTCTTAATTGCCAGCATGGCAATGTCAGTTGGCACTTTAAAAAGAGGAAATATATAACCTGTCCTACGCGTGTACATGTCGTAACAACAACCAAGTGGGTCCTACAACAGTAGCCTATATTACTCTCATCCTCACTTCACTATGTTTCTCACTTCACTCTTTCCTTCAGCTGCAAAAACAGAGCAATCTCAAGACTACACAAAGCCTCATTTTCAGTTCGATTTCGGTAATTTCTGATTCTATTGTAGTAAAATTGACTAGTTTGATCTCGCTAGTATTTCGGATTTTATGTTAAGTGTTTATTTTGCATTCTGCTCTGTTTTGGTTTTATTTTATTTGCAATTTACAATATTCATAGCTATCTTTAAAATGAAAATGTATCATAATTTCATTTCATATTTCAGTAACAAGTAATATAATTCGTGAAAAAAATGAAATTAAAAATATAATGTAAAATTCATCAAAAATTTTATTTATCACTGTTCTGGGTTCTTTTATTTTACCTTTTACTCCTGTTTATAACAATATTTTTACTCGAAAGCCGTCAAGTTTTAGATTTCTCTGGTTCTGTTTCATTTACTAACTATTTTACTCTGTTTTATCGAACCAGACCGGAGATGGAAAACGACAACAATGTCTTGGCGCAGATGAAACCTAAGAAGCGCGCAGGACGTAAAGTTTTCAAGGAAACACGTCATCCAATCTACAGAGGAGTGCGGAAGAGGGACGGCGACAAATGGGTCTGCGAAGTCCGAGAGCCCGTTCACCAGCGCCGAGTCTGGCTCGGAACTTATCCAACTGCTGAGATGGCGGCGCGTGCTCACGACGTGGCCGTGCTTGCTCTGCGCGGGAGATCCGCGTGTTTGAATTTCTCCGACTCAGCTTGGCGTTTGCCGGCGCCGGAATCCACGGATCCGGACTCGATCAGGCGCACGGCGGCAGAAGCGGCGGAGATGTTTAGGCCGCCAGAGTTTAGTAGCGGTATTACAGTTTTGCCATCGTCCGGTGATGGTGAGCATGAGCATGCCACGGTGGAGGAAGGAGAGGGAGTCGCTGGAATGATGATGAGGCTTGCGGAGGAGCCGTTGATGTCGCCGCCGAGATCGTACATCGACATGAGTACGAGTGTGTACGTGGAAGAAGAAATGGGTTACGAAGACTTGTCACTTTGGAGTTACTGAAAAAAAAAAACGTATTCATGGATACGTATGTATGTATGTGTGGTAAGTTATAGATTTTCCCGGGTTTCTGATGGGCTTAAGAAAATACCTCTTTGGGAAGTAGAAGGTTCCATGATGAAATAAATTTGTAGAAAGATTCTTGGAATCTTTAATGTGTGTGTTTTCGTTTTTTTTGTGAAGCAAAGCTTTATGAGGTTTGCTTTGCTTTAATATATTTGGAATTAAATGGGCTTAGATAAGTAAGATGTCAAGCCCAATGAGTCATGTTGACTATGTTTTTTTGGTTTACCTCCTCTAGGTACCAAAATGTATCACAAGTATGTATAATGTTCAAAATAATATTATAATGTAAAATCATTTTCGAATTTACTTATTAGTTTTAAGAACCCTTTTAAATATATATGTTATATAAACGTTATTTTCTATTGTAACAAGGAGGAAATAGTACGTTACATAGAATTTTGCAATTTTATAACAGTTTTACATAACTATTATTTTCATATATTTGACCATGATAAATGATTTCGACTTGAGAAATTTTAAATACTTCATAAATCTTAATCGCAGGATTCGGTGTGTTGATCTGGTTGATTGAAGTCCGCAGTGGAGAAAATAGAAATGGGGTCTTTGTCCCATCACCCATTGGACCATTGCATAAACATAGTATTTTGTTTGTGACTTGTGAACTAATGATTTTATTGGCATTAAATGTTTCTTTCTTCTTTGGCTCATTTCACAAAGTTACAATTAACTAAATGTTTTAATTTCTTCTTTTTATTTTTTTTTCTGGTGCTAGTGACTATGATCAGTTGTCCAAAAAAAAAAACTGACATGATCCAGTGGTCAAAAATGGGTCTTCTCACACACCAAAGGCACACGTCAGTTCTCATATAAGTCAGTGATATTCAAGTATCAAACTAAAGATATGATATATTTATTAATGTAAAAGAACTGTCATGAAAAAAAACAACCTTTTGCAGAAAGCTTATCCTACTATAAAGCAACTTCTAAAACACAATAGCTTTCCTTTGACCAAAAACATAATAGATTTCTTTTTTTTTTTGCTAAAACAAAACATAATAGATTTCCATGTATCGAAACTTTATTTGTTTTTTTACCTTGTAAAGAGATGTCACAATGTAACTTTGTGTTCTTTCACTGAACCAGGTTGTGACTAACTGGATCGGATTGATTTAATTAAGTTGGTTCTATATACAGGATAAGCTTCAAAGTACATTCATTCATGTATAACAATAACCAACTAACTGCTAAACAAGAAGTGAGCCCTTACATGGACTAGATATGAACTAAGTCGGATCGGACTTACATGTGTATATTATTTTCCTTTTATATAACTTTGACTTACATATCAGATATAAACTATCCGATAAATTAGTCTGTTCTGCGATTTTTGATATCAACAAGTTACAACACGCTTATGGACAAACCTCCTAATGATTTCAACGTTTAAAATAACAAAACATAGTTCACCGAACTTTTTATTGGAGTTTAAGGAATTTTGAATTGAGAAATTGTTAGAAATATCACAAGCTAAGTATCATTTCTTCAAAAATATTACCAATCAAAAAATATACTAACATTTGGGTTTAGAATTTATTTTAGTGATTAGTTTAGGGTTTAGTATTAAGGGGTTGAGATTGAGTGTATAAATGATCTATAATTTTAAAAATTAACTTAGTGTTATTTTATCATAAATTTAGGATATTTGTAAAAATAGTCATTTATTAATAGATTTGAAAAGTGATAAGTTTGATAGAATTGAAATTTCCCCTTTTAACTTTTGTTTTTGACAACAAGAATTTTAGTTATTCCTTATGCTATTTTGTATGGTTTTATTACTTGTGATCAAAGCAAGTGTCCATCTAAATATGTACACAAAAGCCCATGACCGAGTCCCCCCTTTGGTTTATAAATATGTACACAATAATTGCATGCGCATTAGAAAGCAGGGGTTAATACCTTCAGTACGGCCGGCTGATTATGCTGTTTGGTCCTTGTAAAACAATTTGACCAAGCTCTTCCAATTCAGTGCCGATATCTAGTTTTAAATCAAGCTTTTTCTATATGTCAGACAGTTATTTCAAAGGAGTATACTAGTTTACGTTTTTTGTTATATAAAAGGCACTGATAACATTTTTTCTAGGGCATCTCCAACCATAAAACCAAATTTAGTGTTGAAATTACATCAAATTTGGTGTTAAACTTTTTTTTCATCTCCAACCATCACACCAAATTCTACACCAAAACAATACTATATTATTAATTTATTTGTTTTGATAATTTAATACTTTTTTTACAATTGACTAATTATATTTATCAAATTTAGTTTTTATATTTATTTATTAAAATTTACTAATTTCATATTTATGTTTATTTATATATGTTATTTTTTTGTTAATTTGTATTCTGTTTTATTTATTCTATAAATATATTCTTCGAAATTAAATTTTACATATTTAAAATGATTTTTTCTTATAATTTAATGTAATTGATAATACTCATTTAATCATATTATTAATTAAAAACATAAATACAATAATATTTTAAAGCTTTAGTAATGTGAATATACAAATAAAACATAGAAATAATATGATATATTATTTTTAACTGTAAATTAAAACTAATTATTAAATTCATCTATTTATAATTAAATAAAAAGTAATAAAATACGTTATAAATAATAAGAATATAAGATATATTATTAAAACTAAAACTTCCAAATAATATATAATATTACTTTTGGTGTCATGGTTGGAGATGGTCAAAAAAAATTTACACCAAAACATCAATTTTGGTGTAATTTTAACACCAAATCTCGTGTCATGGTTGGAGATGCCATCACTCTACACCAAATTTGGTGGGATGGTGTAATTTTTAGTGTCCCATTGGAGATGAGATCACACCAAATTTGATATTTTGATGTCCCATTGGAGTTGGCCTTATACATAAAACATACAGTGCAAGTTGAATTCTACTATTTTGGCAGAGCTAACAGTACAAATTGAATTCTACTATTCTGGTCATTGTATTTGTTTAAATGTCTGCATATACCTTGGTTTGGCTCATTAAACATGCAAAAAGTTTTTTAAAGAAATTCCTTCGTTGCAAATTGAATGATCTATTTGGGCAAATTGCAAAAAAAAAAAAGTTTTTGTTATCAACGATAAACACAGACTCATGACGATTATGCAAACCAAACTGGGAACTCTGAATCCATATATACGACGGAAATAGATTGTTTCTTAGCACTGCGTGCAAGGCTATCCACTCTTGAGTTCATTGGGTAAACTACAAAATCATTCCCAGGTATTGTTATATATTCAATACACATGTACATTTTGAAAAAACAAAAAAAAGCTTATTTACTGTTTTGGCAAAATTATAAATTATTTGTCATTTCAACTGCCACATTATCAAATTTTGGTAACATGGATGACACATCATCAAATTTTGCTAACATAGATATAACATATACACAACTTAAAAAAAAAATATTTTTTATTTTAAAGATGTAATCTTTTATAAATTATAATATTGTAATAAAATTATCTGAAAACTAATTAAATGAATATATTTTTATCTTGTGTTAGGGATATACTGTTTACTCTTATGTTGCTTCGAGTAAATATTTATCACATTTTTTGCATTGGAAACATTTAGGGAGTGTATTGAATCTAAAATTTTAAGTGATTTGATTTTTAATGAGTTTTAGATGATTGTAGGAGAATTGTAAATTTTGGTGTGAATTTGTTAAAATATTCGAGAATCTCATATAAGATTATAGGATTTGAATTTTTATTTTTATAACTAAGAACTCCTAACACCCTGGAAACACTTAAACCACTCTAAAATCTACAACTTAAGTTTTGTTCAATAACAATGGATTTCAGAGTGTTTTATGAAATTACAAGTTCAATACTACTAGATTTTTCAATTATTTTTTTAAAAAAATTGTGTTGAATAACAATGAATTTGTCATTTTAATAAAAATCACCTCAAATACCTAGTTGAACACACCCCTTCTTAGATCAACATATAACAATTTTTTCTTAAACAAAACTAATTGCATGATTATACAACTCATCACAAATTTTCAATGCCAACAACATAACTAAGATTAATCGAAAGCAACAAGAGAGAAAATGTTAGGATTGAAGCATTACAACAAAAATATGCATTTTATATAAGATGAAGTTCTATTCATTTTAGTTTTTCGTTAATTTTATTAATATAACTAGGATTTATAAAATGCCTAGAATTTACTAAATTATTTTTTCTTTTATATTTTTTATTTTTATAAAAACTATTTTGTTTTAATTTTCTATAAAGGGTTATTCTACATGTGACATATTGTATGTTTGTATACAAAAAACAATAAAATGTATGATGTTTAAACTTTTTCAATGTATTTCCATAATATATATATATATATATATATATATATATATATATATATATATATATATATTCAATATAGCAATAAATATTCAATATAGCAATATTTTTGACATGATTTGGTCGTTTGCCGTAATCTAGAGTCATCACCTCAAACGCCCTTATTCAAAAAATTTAAATCACTTATATCATTCACTAATCTTTATACCCTTCATCATTTAATGAAAATCCCAAATAAATCATTCCCAAGCAACCAAAACTAAACAAAAACCTCCCCCTATGGATCAGTGAACCCTTGGGTAAAATATTTAAATTCTATATGTTTCAAATTTTTCAAAAAAATATTTTAAAATCGTTTTTTAATCATTTTTGGTGATTTTCGGAAAAATATGAAAAAACAGTTTTTTGATTTTTGAAATTTTTTTATCAAATTCTATAAATCAAATAAAAAATATTGACGTTTTCATTTTAATTTTATGATTTTTCGTTTGACGTATAAAATTAAAAGAAAAAAGTGAAGACATTTGAGCTTTAAAATTTTCAAATAAGGGCCCTTGAGTCAATTACTCTGTAATCTACTTTAGTCTGTATCCTTGTTACTTATCATATATTTTTAATTATTTATTTCCACATGGATAGACCAATTATCAAAGCGACGTTCTTGTTTTCTTATGTAGTAAAAGTAATTATTTGATTATATCTATGTATGGTGGGACCACCAAATCAACTTTGCTGCCAAGGGCACCACCCGACTGGCAAATTTTATATCAGATGATTGGCTACAAGTGCTAGTTGGTTTAAATATTAGACGGGTTTTTTTTGACAAAAATATATATTTTTTATTTTATTTTTTTGAACTGACAAAAATATATATTAGACGTTTCATGTTCCTTTTTATGATCTTCACATGTATTCAAAATACTGATTTTCATCTGTTACTTTT